AGCCCAGATATCGGACAGAGACTTCAGAAGCCAGAAGAGCCTGTAAATAGGGACTTCAAGGCATTCATGAAAAAAAGCATAGCAGGTGTACAGTAATAGAGACGAAAAGAGAAAGAATGAAAAAAAGCATAGCAGGTGTACAGTAATAGAGACGAAAAGAGAAAGAACTCACTACAGCCATAGGGGTAGCTCTGGATCAGCACCAGGGCAGGGGACATGGGCATGGATGAGACAGGGGCAAAAATACCAGAGGCGGAGGAAGTTCAAACCAGCCTCAGACTAAGTTGGGGCTGAAGCAATGTGCATCTTGTAAGAAAGAAGGACACTGGAAACTCCAGTGGCGCAGGGCTCAGAGCAGCATTCGTGGCCTGGCCCACACGTTCCTTGTCTGTGTCACACCCTGGGCAGGTTTAGGATGGCCACCAGCCGGGCCGTGTCCCAAGGAGGCCGTGCCAGCTTCTGTGCAAGGCCCCGTGCCCTTCCTGCTGCGGCTGCGTCGGCAGCCCTGGGGGCTCCTTCTGCTGCCCTGAGCCTGCAGAGCAGGGCAGCGTTTGCTGCTGGTTTGAGGCGTTCCTAAATATCCCGTCGGGGATATTTAGGAACGCCTCAAACCAGCAGCAAACGCTTGACGCAGTTCTGCCGGAGCCCAGGCTAGCTCAGAGAAACACACCAGCAGCCACGTCAGGTGTGTGGAACTACCTTGGTTTATCAGTGCCAAAGGCAGAAGCTTTGAGCCTTGTGCTCGGGTACAAACAAACAGCCAATGGGGAATCCAGGAGGAAGTAGCGAAGGGAGGGCGTTCCAATGCAGGAAGCATCAGGGATGAGGGGGAATAGAGGACCGGTCATGCAGGCCAATGAGGCCTCGAGGCTTAGGGGGTTGACAGGGAAGGATCCAGAACAAAGGGCAGGCTTTACAATGATGGACAAGGGGTAGGGGCAGGGTTGTGGTGACAGGCAGGGAAGGCTTGGGAATAAGGAGCTGGCTTTACAATGAAGGGCAGATCAGGGGAGGATACAACTCCTAGGGGCAAACCAACTTTGGATGAACAGGGGGGAGCAGAAGAGTGAACCATAGAACTGACAAACTTCCAACAACAACTAAACTTAAACAATTGCCGCAACACTGTCTTTGACACTTTGGGCAAGAGATTCCTTCCAATCGAGGCCACTTTGAGGGGGGATAGGGGATGGGGGGAGAACTAGGGCACGTGGCAGTGTTTGCAAGGGCCCTTTGTGACATGGTCAGCGTGGGATGGAAAGGGACAGGGTGTCAGAGGGCCCTTTGTGACACGTGGTGACAGAGGAGCTGGCCACAGCGACAGGTCCACGCCACAGTGCTCGGTGCACGCGACGGGACAGGACGCGCCAGAGCGGTGCTGTGAGGAGCCCCCGCACAGCGCACTCGTTTGTGTCTGACCCGGAGCTTCTCTGAGCCGTCATTCTTGCAGGTGACCTCGAGGCCAGACCACAGGACTTGGTGACCTGTGGCCTTGCCGAGGCTTCTTTTCTTAAGGTGCCCTCGAGGGCAGACTGTGGGACCTGGTGAGCCGGTGCTTTTCCGAGGCATCGCCCATCCCTGCAGTCACTGCCCTTGAGACCAGGGCACAATCCTTGACGAGGAGCCTCCTGTCCTTGTGGCAGGAGCCCTCAAGACCCGAGTGCAGGACTTGCTGTTCTGCAGTCTTGCCGGGACTTGAGTCTTGCAGGTGCCTTCCAGGCACGACTGCAGGACTTGCTGCCTCAGAGCTTTTCTGAGGCATCTCTATTGCAAGTACCATAAATCCAGGCACTGCCATGGAGCAGCGACCTCCAAGAATTCCCAAGCTGGCCTGGGTGGAGGAGGAGGAGAAGGAGGAAGAAGAAGGCCCTGGAGCTGCCCCAGATGTAGAGACGGAAGAGGTGCAGGAGTTCCAGCCGCTGGAGGAGGGTGAGTTGCAGAGCTCGGCCTTAGGGCTAGTGCCTGTTGCCAGCTTAGCCCCATCCCATTGCATGCCATGCCATCCCCTGGTGCTGTTCTGATGGAAAGGATGGGAGAGTGTTGGAGATCTGG